AAAAGAGAAAAATTTCTKCTGGTGAAAACTTTGTGTTTCTGGTATACTTCAACTTTCTCTTTATTCAAGCTGCTTTTAATTTTACCAGCGTTAACCTTAATTCTGCTTTTCTGTTTCTCAACTCCTGAGGGTTATCCAGCCCTTTGAACTGATTTCTGACAAGCTCTGTGGGAGGTACAGTGGTATCTGGAGAGATTGTAATAAAAGATCTCAAACTATTTTTCCAGGTGATCTGTAGCACACAGAAGTTCATGGGTATTTGGGAAGTCGGTGATAGAGCTTAGAATTATCTYATGTCCTAATGTCTGAGCCAGAAATAAGAGAAGCCCAACCATCACTTGTTTCTCAGATGCAGTAGATCTTAAAATGTAATTCTGAGCTGTGAATTCTCCCACAAAATGAAACAACTGCTAGGCATAGCCCAAATCCTCTTATTTTGTTTTGGGGTGTTTTTTTTTAGGAAGCAACTTAAGATTTAACGACAAAACTCAACTTGGAAGGGGAAAAGCCCAACCACTTCCCTAAACTCTTTCAGCTGCACTCTGCCCCACCATAACAGAGCTCTCAGTACACCACTGTACTTTGATTTCTCTATTTAATGATGAGAGCAGAGTCAGTACCAAAGTCATCAGCACACACAARATGTCTGCTGGAAATATTCACTTCTCAAAGTGCAAGAATTCCAGAGAAGAAAGCTCCTGCCTAAGTCCTTGCAGATAAGCTTAATATTTCAGTTGTTACAGTATTTATTTCAGGTGTTCATTATAGGGTTGGAACAGAAGTATCAGGACAGTTCACAGCAATTTTTTACAATACTTCAATGGACTTTGGGTAGTTTTAAAGTTTTAATTTCCATGAATGTATGAACACCTGTGTATTGAAGGCAGTTTTCTGTAATTCGCAGAGATTTGCAGGCACATATAGGAGAAATTTCTTTTACATAACCTTAAGGAGATTCTTTTTCCTTTATCTTCCCTRTTTTCCAGGCAAAAACCTTCAGTGAGCCCATTCTCTGCTGGATTTTCTCTACTGACACACCAAGGCAGACAAAAGGGCTCCCTGGGCCATCCACCATGCCGAGGTAGCTGCAGCGGTGTCAGATGGGAGCGCTGACCTCCGCAGCCTCTCCTGGGGAGGATGCAGCACAACAATGCCATCCTTGTTCACATTCACTGCTCTCCCTGCCCGCTGTCTCTCCTTCCCCCTGAGCAGCACGTCCCCCGCACAGGCTCACAAAGGGCCGCATTCATCAGTGAGCAGCGACCGCTGAAAATCCTTCTCAAAGACAACGGGACGTGCCAGCTCTACCAGGGCTTGGTTTAAAATGTTCACCCTTCCTCCCTCGGGCCACCTTGGCTGATTCCTGTGCACATGGAGGGGTTTGAGGGTCTGAGGGTGGTTCTGTGGGGTTTGAAGGAGCTCCCTGGGTCAGCAAGCCCCGTTGAAGWGGTTCCATCTCCTGTGGGAGATTGCTGACTTGTGTCCCCGGAGCCGTTTGGTTTCCTGCCCACACTCCTCCCACGGACAAGCTGCTGCTCAACCTTGCTGCTCCGGATGGGGTGAACCTTCTTTGCATTTCCAGCCTCAATTTATTCATGGYTGGTTTGCTCCCATTTGTTCCCGTGCCAGGGCTGGCCATTAGCTTAAAAAGCTCTCCCCAGYGCTGGATTTAGTCATCCCAGTGTGTGTGTGCAGGGAACGAGCAGCTCCTTGTGGCTTCCACTGACTGAGGAGACAAAAGCTGCTTTAGTTCTTCTGTGCAGAGAGGAAATGTTCAATCCTCCTCATTGCCCTGCTCTTCTCTTGGACAAAACTGAATTTCCCTGCTGAGTCTTCCCAGGCCAAGCCAGGAGGGATGGTGGCAGCCTGGGCAGGCCTYGATGCCAAGGACAAGGCTGCAAAAGCAAAGACTGAGATGGTCGTGGTGGTGGAGTCAAGAGGGAGAGGAGAGATCCCAGTGGCCATGAACGGGAGCAAGAATTGATTGTGGTGGTGGTGATGTGAAAACTGCAGCATAAAAYAGCAAACAGATGCTTAACTCTTGTCAGCTGCCCATAATGTAGAGAGTGGGACTGCCCTGATGTTCCTTCTCTCCCTTCCACATCCCTGTGTTTTCTGCTGCCCTTCTCCTTTTCTTTCTGAGTCTTTGACAGTCTCACTTTGGACTGTTCTGGCCAGAGCCTAGCAAGGTGATTGCTTTCCAAAAATCACCCCCAGCAACCACCAAATTCTCTGAAGCCAGCCTARGAAGAGCTTTAATCTGGTTTAAAGTGATGGCTGTGTTTACAGGCTGCCAGGGGTTCTGTTTGCCAGTGAATTGCCTCCCACTTTTACCAAAATCCAGAAGTTTCCAGGGTGTTCCCTGCAACTTCGGCTCATTCTAAAAGCATGTCTGAAATTAATTGTGCTGCACTCAAGGAACATAGGCCATCACTTCTAGTGCACAAAAATACAGTTTGGAGCCCATTTCCTGAAATTCAGACCCTTGACCCTTGACCCTGACCCTCTCAGACCTGGCAAGGTAAATCAGCTCCTCCCAAATTCCTCCTGTTTCCCAGTCTTTCATTCCCTTTCATGACTTCCATGAAGCCCAGCAAGAGCCAGCCCCCAGTGGTTTCTGTGGCAACTCTAGAAGTCACTCTTTGGGTGATCCTAGAACTGCACATCTTCTTCCCATGGAAAGGACCAGGCACTTTAAGGAAAGCCATAATGGACAGTCATAAATTGCTGTGTGTTTCRGTAGCTGCCGACGCTGCCTGGGAGATGCATTTGTCACCTAGCAACGACATAAGGTGATGAGGAAATAACAGCATGTTAATCTAATGGCCACGAGTTAACATCCATCAGGGAGCAGCCTCCCAAGCCCACGATGAGGTGGATGTAATTGAGGAGGAAAGAGATGCCAAACTTTTCATCAGTAGAGGAGGAGTGAGCAGAGGTTATCTTCACATGTGTGTGTGAGTGTGTGTGCATGTGCCTCATCATGGAGGATGACAAAAAGCCTGGAGAAACCCCTCAGACTGGAGATAACCCTTGAGCACAGAGCTGTCCAGAAAATGGGTGTCTCCATTTTGCACAGCCCTGAAGGCAGCAATGCCAGCCACAGCAGGCAGGGAGCAGCAGGAAGGATCACAACCCACCCTGAGTTTTGCTGCAAAACTCCTCTGGGTTTTTGGTGTCCAGTCCTGGCTGTCTTAGAGCAAGTATTGAGGCTGTTTTTGATATTGATGTATTCAGGCTGCTCAGCTGATCATGGACAGGAGTTTTCCTGCTGAAACAGCAGCTCTTTTCAGTATTGGAATCACTCCTGAAGCAAAAAAACAGGGTTGTTCCATGGAGCCCTTTAAGCCAACTCTCCTCTTGACACCATTACAGCGAATGCAGGACAGGTTTCACAAATTGCCACCATCCCTTGGAACCTCTGCATGGGGCCAACTAGCAGAAAACATCAAAGTTTGCCTTGAGGCCATAGAAACTGAATTCAATCATTTCCCTTTTCTTCTGGAAATAGACCCAGAACAGATGCCATGTGTTATTTTTCAGTACCAGGAGCTCAWTGAGGTACCTGCCCCCCAAAATACTGGGGTTGATCCATTTGGTGGCTCTAAATTGAAAGCACCCTGGGTGCTGGCATGAGGCAAGTAATTGTGAGAGGAAGAAAACTGAAATTAGTTCAATGATGGATGACCTCATGGAAGCCTGAAATTGAAAGAATCACCCAGTTCCCAGCAAGGCTGAGTGCATTTTTATACTGCAGGAACTTTTTCTTTTAAGAAAACAGCTAAGAAATTGGCTTGGCAATTTACTGTTGAACAACACTGAAAAGGATTGGTCTGAAGCAGGACAGCATGTTCAGACCATTTGTATTGTGTAGCACACGCACTTAGCACCATCATGAGAGATGCTTTCTCAGCGGGCATGGCTTCAGAGACTCACCTTTCACTAGTGCTGAGCTGAAAGTAAACATTAGAGAGCACCAGGGCTTGGCCTGGGTTTATGCAAAACCTGAACATTAAATAACAAACCTGTGTTGTGCATGTGTATCACAGCTGGTGAGACTTCTTGACCTTCCAGCTGAAGCAAAGCCGCAGAGGTTCATCTCAAGAGCAGCTGGGCTTTGTCAATCATTATGGAAGTAATGGCATCCCTACATAATGCTTAACTCTGGAGTGAGGGCTAAACATATTCATGGCAACACCTTCTGTGTTAAATCTGGAAGAACCACAGTTAATGGTGCATTGCAGCCACGGGCTGTAAACTTCAGTGACAACCTATTACTGACTGCTGAACAAACTGGGGTTGTCCCTTCTGAGGGGATCAAAGCACCTTCTACCCTTGTTTAACCACGTGATCTGGATGAATGTATAGGAATTTAATCCATCTTTGGGAAAGGACCAATGTGCAATGAAATTTTGTGGGGAGTATGTTGGGGAGAGAGAACTGTTGGGTATGTATGAGGTTTTTTCGGCTGCATTGTCCTGACAAACCAAACCCTGGCGGCTGCATAGCAGCAGTAATGGTGCTGATGGTGATTGTGTCAGGCTTGGAAGAGTTTACTTCATCCCTAGTGCAGCTTTGAGATGTAGGCACAGTGCACAGGACAAGGTTGGAGGTAGCTCTGCTTTTTCTGTGATGCCAATATCCCATCCAAAGGCAGCATGCAATGGTCCCCTGGACAGACTCCTGTGACTCTTTTTTTGTAGCAGGTCCTGTTAAGTGAAGCCGTGGGTTAATATGGAACTAAGCCTCTGCAGCAGGAATTTGTGAACAGCTATGAAAATACCGAAACAACTGCAAGGTGCTGACCTTAAACCAGTGTTMCTTTAACTCCTGGTCGCTGTTTGTGTCCCTGCAAACCCAAATTCTCWCCCTGGCTAGCGGTAATTTCTGAGGCACAGGAATGCTTTCCCTGGCTGCAGAGGAGTTTTAAGATGTGCAGAGGAGTTTTAAGAGAACCAGATTACAGAGGGTAAAACACTGCTGCAAACAAAACTCTCCCAATGTTTCTCACTCTGGTRATGCGGAGACCTGGAGCTCTGTGTTTAACTTCATGGATCACAGCAGGAACTGGAGTTCTGTGTTTAACCTTCTTCCAGGTAACCAAACCYTTCACTGGGACCAGGCTGATTTTAGGGATTGCGGGGGGAAGATTCCAACTTTTATAGAACTTAATCATCAGCCTTTTTTTTTTTTTTTGGATGTCTGAAGGATTTTTTTTTGAGAACCTAATGAAYATGGGGAAGAATCAATGCTCACAAAAATTCCACTTAATGCAGAGAAAACATGACTGTCTGAATCCTTTATTCTGTCTGTGGCTATTGAAATGGAAGAGCTTGGGGCTCCAGCAGCTCGGGTGGGTGTTTGGCTGCTCTGACAGATTCCTGCCTCAGAGCAGATGCACTTTGCCACAGTTTAGCTACGCTAAGGTGGCTTTGCTGAGGTGGTTTGAGGGATGATAAAAGAGAGTCCAGAGGTTGTCATTCAGCCATGAGGAATACTCAGGATACATATAATCACAGCAATCAGCTATCTGTTTTTGACCTGTTATTTTAATAATCAGCTGAAGTGSAAAAAAAAMCCCAAAATAATTAAAATATTCTRCACCAYRRKGCATGTGTGACATGGCAAATTAGCTGAGTTTTAAAAGGACACGTCTGGAAGAGTTGAAGCTTCTGTCTTTTTCTCTATTCCTCATTTGGCTTTCAGCCACTCGTGAAATTTCACAGATAATRCTTTATAGGAAAGACTTTCTATACCCAAACATCTCTGGTGAAACTAGGGACTGAAAGGCAGTGTGTGCACAGGATCAGACACATTATAGAGATTTGTGGGGGGATTTCTTGCTGTTTACAGTGGCTCAAACTTTGCATAACAAAAATAAGTCCTATTAATTAGAGATTTAAAATTRGATCTTTCAATTATATGTATTTGATAAAAATTTCTTATTCAGAACAGAACTTTCCAGTGTGACTCAAAGTCACAAATCTCAAAGTGTTTTGGATATATGGAGAGGGAAATCCAAAGTAATTATTTACAAATTACATTCTAACAGATTTTTCCTGAGAAATAAATCTACAGTCCTCTATCTTGTTCATTCTGCTTTCCAGTGTTATCACAATTCTATACCTGATCTGAATTTTTTATAGCAACATTGGGCAACTRTTATAACACACCTAGCCCCAGTCAGCCAAAAAAATCTGTTTAATTGAATTCAATTATACTGATGAACTGCTCTGGCTCCTTTCTGCCCAGATAACATGAAACTGAGGYTGAGATCAACAAGGCTTGCAAAAATAAACTGGCTTGAGTGAAGAATAGAAAATATACCTGAAAAACAAGTTTCAGGTTCACATATTTGCAATWCCTGAAACCTGACTCTGGGAATGATGCACCACTGCTGTCTGAAAACAGGAAAATGATGGGTAGAGCACAGTTCTGGTCAAAACATCTCMAATTTATGGTTGCGTTCACAATTAGTTGCAAAAAAAAAAAAAATAAGCCACAGGACAAGAATTTGGTTATGGGGCATTTTCAGCAGATATTTCTGAATAGCAAAGGCCAGTGCAGTCAGCAGGTCTCGGATTGCGGGTGGTGCTTCCCTGCTCTTGTCTTTCCCTCTTTGACATCAAAAGGAATCCTTCCTCCTCGGCCTAGCTTTCATCTGCAAACTATTGAATTTATTGAGCTCTTGRTGAAGTTCTCTGCTGGTTTTGATAYGAGCTGGCTCAGAGYAGAGACMCACAGASGTGCATCCCTAAGGAGAGGTCTGGTTTCAACCCTGCGGGACCAGCACTTGCATGGCTTTTTCTTTTCAAATTCCCTCTCTAAGAATAGTGATTATATTGGTAAATTGTAAAAGACCAGCCCATCCCTGCCTTCTCTGATTTACATGTGTGTTTTCAGTCAGCAGACTCCGAGTCGGACTGYGAGCTTGGCGAGAGGTGAGTGTGGCTTTGTTCTCTCACCTGCAGCTGCCCCCACCCCAGGCCCTTTCAGGGGTGCTGTGCTCCTGCCTGGCACACCAGCACTGCAGAGCAACGAGGACTTCCAGGAAAAGGCCAGTTAAGGTTGGGTTAGGTTTTTTTGAAAAGAGGAAATGGAAGCTGGCAGCCCTTTGGGTTTTCAGCAAAAACGCTGGTGGYGGACGCCAGTGTGGAAAGGAGAACAAATTGTACTCTGCTTCTTGCATCATCTGCATTGCTCCCATCTACATAGAGAAACTTTAAATAGGGCTCCTTTCATGGAGGAGACCTTCTGCTTATTGATGGTGCTCCTGTTTGTGTTTGTAGATGTGTTGGGGTGGGTACAGCAGCCCCCTCACACTGGACAGGAAATCCTTTTAATTCTTCCCTTTTTAGGTGCATTGGACAGAGCGATGAAAACTTCAGCAGCTGGTATGTGTGGTAAGTCTCAGATCTGCTTTAGAGGGAAAAACTGGCAAATAATATTCTTTGATGSATATATGGAGAGAAAGGCATTAAGAGAGACTGATAGCTAGAGAGCATTGCTCCTGGGCTGTCCCTGTGTTCTGTCTTTACAAAGTAATGGAAATCATTTATCCATATCCTCCTCACTGTACGCTGACAACTGAGCTGGGAAAAAACGATGGATGATTTCAGGGAGAAATGTTTGAATTTCCAGCCAGCCCTCACTGCTGAGCACTCAGGAGTGAGACATTGGTTTCTGGGGACTTTGATCATGTCCAGTGCGCTGGTGGGGAAACCGCAACGTTTAGCRGCTATTTGCAAAAGATGTTAATGAATATGTTAATTTGAAGACACGMGGCCATCTGTCGGTGCTGCCCGCAGATGGTGATGGTGCTGTTCCTTCCCTCTGCCTCTGCCTCAGGTTCCTGATGTTGTTTTTCCTGGCCTTGCTCGTGTCCTGCGGGATCTGCTGCTGCCTGCAGTGCTGGCTGAAGCGGCGGAGCTGCCTCCCCCGGCGCACCGTGGCCGTCTTTGCCCTCAGCAGCTCAGATGCCTTTTGTGGTCAGTCCTGTCCCTGCTGCAATGTCCCCCTGGCCCTGCTGGGCTTCCTGTGGCCCATCCATAACCCAGTAAAAGGYGGTCAGTTTGGAGTGGGGCTGGGATGCAGCCCAGGAGCTGTATTCTGTGAACAGTGGGGTGCCCACTCGGGGGCTGTCCAGACCATGGGCTGGCATGACCATGACCATCCAGGGCTGAAGCCACATCCACTGCTCACCAAGCCATGCCTTGGTGCTGYCCCTGTGTGTCCTTGTGTCCCAAAGGTGCCCAGCTGGGGCTTGGCCAGGCTAACACTGCAGGTGTGTGTGACTTTCTGCACTTTCAGCCCAGCACACGCAGCCACGGGCACTGGGGTCAGGCAGCCCTTTCCASCACTCGTCCTTCATTTCTCACTCAGGTAAACTGTGCTGGTCTAACCTGAGCCACCCCAGCAGACAGCTCAGCTGGGTGATACACCCTGGGTCTGTCTAAAGATTGACCTGGTGGGTTCTGTTCCATGTGGCAGACACCCCCAGTATTCCCCAAGGAGCACCCAGATTTTGAGGACTGGGCTGTAATGACCCTGGAGCATCTGGAACTGACCTGGAGTAAGGCCAGCAGYGTCAGCAGGCTGGGCCAGACAACATCCCTCCAAGAAAAATAAAGCTAATTCTGTCATTAGGCTGAGCCCTTCCCAGAGCATGTATTACCTGCTTTCTGGGTGGTCATGGACAGTGTCTCCACCCCAAACCCACCCAAATTCCTCTGTCCCAGCTGCTTRTATCTAGAACTTGTGGTGAAAGGCWTTGTGATGCCATCATAAARAATTACACCCRTGCCTTTCTYGYCTCCAAGTGGTTTGGCAGCTCCTCCTGGGCCCACTCCTCCCACCCCACATCGGCTCTTCACGCCTGGCTGCTGCAGGGTTGTGACTTTGCTCTTTCCCCAGCTCCTGAAGCTCCTCCGTGCCCATTCTCTGGATCCCTGAGCCCCTGCACGACTGAAGAGATTTCCTCTTCTCCTCCCCAACACTTCAGCCTCGGGGGAACTGAGCTGCCTCCGTCATATGAGGATGTAATGAAGGAAAACAAGCTCTAGACACCACATGTTGGCTCTCAGAGATCCTTCTTGGTTCACCAAAGATCTTCCATCGTGCTGAAGGAGTGTGAGATCAAACCAGCCCTTTCCACATGTTGGCCCAGAGACTGAAAAGCAGCACATATTTCATCTGAACCTGAAAGACGAAACTAAATGCAACAGAATAAATGCCAAAAGTATGTGTTGAATCTGTCACAGGAGCTCAGCTTGACATTTTGATGTCTCTGGATTTCAAGAAGCTTCCTCAAAGGCCTGTCTGTATTTGGGATTCTGGCTCAGCCTTTAGATTTTTCTCTCTAAGGCTGCTTGAGCTGGTGCAACCCCACGTGTTTTAGGACCAAATGTTGATAAATGACTTGATAGTTACTTCTCAGACTTGGGCTGCCTCATTCACTCGGTGCTGTGCCAAGAAACACCCTCTGGCAAAGTCATGTTGTTCTAATACATTGTAATGCAATCATGCCACTCTGTGATGAAGGATTGTTTGCCACATTTAAAATATTTAGCACRGCATATCAGATTTGTCTGGTGCAAAAGGCAGCAAATTTATGGCCAGGGAAGAGAAAACAAGAGGCAGRGATTACGGGGGAGTAGCAGTGGCAGGAGCTGGTTGCAGAGCATTAAAAAAGTGAGTTTGCTCACTTTGCTCACTTTTTGAGCTGTTCTTTATTTCATGGTGACTATCTCCAGCTACTCTTGCCCTGGCACTGCAATCCAGCAGGTTTTGAATGGCTCAAGATCCACGTGGAAGTTGTCAGAGTCATGAATTAGGGACTTAGGTACTCAGTATTTAGCTACAGAAATCTATTAGGATAAAGAATGCCATTTTCTTTGAGGTAATCACCGCAGACAGGATGGAAAAATACTTCAAGAAACCTTCGAGATTGCCTTGTGCCCAAGCAGGATCAGCTCAACAAAAGTCATTCCTTGGAGGCATTAGCCTAACTAGCTCTCAAATTACTGAGGAAAGATGCCAAATATCCCCCTTAGCTGGATTCCAGATGAAAGCAAAGATTCCCTTTTGTTTGTCATGGGCAGGTCACCAAGGCTGAATTCAGCCTGCCTGACCTGTGCTCTGCTCTCTCAGTGGCCAAGGCTGGGGGTGCAGTCAGACATCTCTTGCTGCAGAGGACAATGTCACACCTGGTGCAGTGCTCTGTCCCCCCCTGGAGCCATGAGCCCAGTTTGGGATTAGGATCCCAAAAAATTAATGCAAGGACACAGCCTGCCTCATGGAGCACCTCCCCACCTGTTTTCAGGAGGGAAACTTTGAAGGTAAATCCACAAAAAATTATAATATTCTCATAATGATTCTCTGTAAGTACATTTGCTMGATAATGAATTACAGCATATTTTGAGAGAAAGCTATTTGCCAGCATCACTGCAAATTATMTCCCGAAAATCTTATTTTAGAAGCAGCTCTAATGTTTGACTCCTGTGTGGAAGGAAATAAATGTTGCTTGTAGCCAAATAAATGTTTGTGCCAGCAGGSTAAAATATTACTGGGTTTATTAATAAGGAAAATTAGCAAGCACAGACTCAGCCAGRGGAGAAGTCAAGCAACTTCTGAGTGTCCTTTTGCTGGCTGAGCTTAGTAAGAGTTGCAGGTAATCAGCACCTCTCAGGATCAGATCTTGCATGTACATAACTGCTTCCAGCACTCAGCCCCTTCAATTTATGCCCTGAAGCATGAGATTTGATTATGTTTGTCACTGCAGCTCTCATAGCCTGTTAGTGGGCATTAAATCAGCCGTCACTTGATTCCCACCTACACACCGCGTGTTCTTCGGTGACCCCTTCGTGGCAGTGAACTCCACAGGTCGCCTGCATTATGTGCTGCATAAAACATTACTGCCTCCTGCTTATTAATGGCTTGGCTCTAAATAAATTGCTGCCTTTGATTTTGTTGAATGTCACCTTCTAATCAGATGGCTGGAGAGGCTAATGAGCAAGGRCTGCTCTGGTTCCAGGGCCCCAATCCCTCTGTGTTCCTCTTTCTCCAGGACCAGYGATTCCCGAGGTGGTAAATCCTTCCCCAGCCACCCAACAGAGGGCAAGCGAGGCTTTCAGCCCAAAGAAGCATTCAAGGGAACGGGTTTGTTCCCCTGCTACCCATGTGCATTCAAGTGCATTCGGTTTCATGTTTGAGGTGCTTTAATTATRCACGAAGGGAATCAAATTATTCCATCAGAATGGCAACAAGTGGCTCATCGTAAAGTAAGATAATGGCTGTCAGAAAATCAGACTGCTGGAGTCACCAGCGTGGGAGAACTTGTGTGCTGTGGTACCTGTGCAACATGACAGGAGCCACAGGAACTTCCAAAAGCTGCTGAGAGCCAGGAGGTGTCTGCAAAAACGAGCTCATGTAGGATCGCTGTGGGGGGAACATAAACTAATGTTGCTGCTGGTTTGGGGTAAGGAAGGGGAGTACCCTGAGAAGGGGCTCAGGGTTCTGGTCCTTGGCTTCCTGATCACTGGAATGAAGAAGATGGGTTCCTTCCTTCTACAAAAAAACATTTTTCCTGCTTGTCCCAGGCTGCCACCTCACGCCTGTGTGCTCCAGCAGAACGGACAAGGTTTCTGCAGACCTGTGCTCCCATTCTTACACAAGCAGAGATTTTGCCTGGTAATTGATATTTTTATAAGCACTCAGCCCTTAATGAGGGCAGTTAATGCAGCTTGGCTGATGTTTCCAGAACTGCAAGGGAAGAAGAGCCATTTCCTCATAACTCATCACCTCAGGAACAGGGTTCACCTTGRAAAAGCGCTTGTCCTGCTGTGACTCTCTGGCTGCCACTCATCCTCTGACTTACACTTCCTGCTGTCTCRGAGAAGAAATGGCAAACGGCTCTAGAAAAAAGCAGAAAACCCTGGAAGGCAGATTTGTGGGGGAACCTGCTATCAACAAGCCTTGTGAGGGGGAAACTGSAGCAGTGTGGAGGAGCTAATTGCTTGGTGACCATCTGGAAGTAAAAAACGAAGGGAACACGGYGAGGCACACGGCTGGACTTTCACCTCTGCAGATTAAGAGCTGAATAATAAAATTATAAACTGGCTCTAAGGCAAAACAGAGCAAAACCAGAGGCAGCTGAGCCGTAACAGGGCATCAGTTTAGAATGCCAGGAGGGTTGGACATGAAAGATAGGAAAATAAATGATATGCTCATTAATCTTTTTTTATTATTATTAATTGTCATCTAAAATTTTGCATTATGGGCTGGAGACTTCTGCGCAGGGAGGATGAGGACAGGACCGGGGACATGCCCGCTCTCTTTGGGTCACTAGATGGCACAATTCTGGCTCTTTCCTTCCTTGCTCAAAGGCATTTTACAGCAGGAACCCAGGAGCTACAGGGGGAAATTGTTCTCGCTGTCCTAACAGCAGTTGGACAGAGTATTTCAGTCATTAATCACTTGCCCACAATATTTAACAGATGCAGAAGAGCAAACGGCGGGAGTCCAGCCCCAGCTGAGACAGAAAACGTTGCATTCTTGGTGGAATTTYACTTTTCTCTCTTGGAAAGTTTCTAAAATGACTCCAAGTGGAGGTGTCTAAGCCAGGATAAAGTCTCTGGTTGCTGAAGATCCATTGCTGCAGGTGCACGCTGGGCTCTGAGGTTTGGAGCCACCAGCTAAGGTCTAGACACCCTCCAAAATCACTGCCCCRTGCCCAAGGGCTGGTCCTGTTTGTGCTGCTGCCTTTGGTGTGTCCTTGCAGGAGAGCAGCGATTCCCTGCTCAGGAGGCAAAGCAGTCACTTGGCAAAACCCCTTCCTGAAGAAAACCTGGATGAGGGTTAGAGACACCACACTCAAAGGCAGCTGCATTTGTTATATCCCATTGATGTTACTATAGGTAAGAAAAACACAATTCTGCACTAATGCTGCTGTCTCCTGGAAATAATTGTACAGATCTACTGAATTCACACCAAAATCACCTGGCAACGCCTGTGAAAAGGCAGGAAATCCATRTCTTGGGAAACGTTCGTGCAGCTGCAGTAGGAGATAGCCTAGTTCACAAGGTCACAGTTACACAGCCCTAATTTCAGCTGGGGTTATTAAAAACTCATATGAGCAAGGCTGATCAAGGCAGGGACAGGACAAAATGCTGCGTGCAGAAAAGGACAGCCATTGCAGATGTCATTTTTTTMATTATCTCCCTCACTTGYCTGTATCAAAATGGGAAATCAATARCTATCTGTAAGGAAYGGAATCAACTTAGCAAAGATCTTGCCTAAACACTTTGCTGTTTTCCATAACTGCAACCAGCCTGATCCCTGGCACACTGCACAGAGCTGTCAGTGGAGAGGACAACGGGGAGACCCAGTTGAAGAAAACACCGGAATAGGCACACAGAGAGGAAAGGTGCTACTCCCAACTCTCAGCTAAATCCCTGATTATCCCCATGCCCTGAGAAATGAACACTGAGGTGCCCAAACATRTAAAAATACCCCTTGGAAGCTAGTGAAAATATGGAGAAACCTAAAATGCTGCTGGAACTGATGGATTAGATGTTGGCCCTCAGCTCAGCTGGAAATTGCAATTGAGCAAAAATCCTTAGTAAGCCATCCATGGCCATCAGGAAGGGAAAATTGGTCTATTGTCATTCCTAGTGAGCTGCTGAATGGAATGTAGGTAGGTATTAAGGAAATACCTTAATAACTGAGCTCACCTGATACATCTTTAGCCTTAGGGACTGTTTGTTGTGATTTTGAAAGAAAAAATAAGTCCTGTGTACTTTCTGGGAGGTTTCTTGCTAATGAATATACAATTAAACTAGAGTAGATCTGCATTGTGGCCTGATAATGAGCTAATGAGGAGTGAATCCTGCAGTGTGAAACCAGTGTCACTATTAAATCAAACCAGGATCAACAATTAAATATTAACAGTTGATCAAAACACCAGATAGCCTGTCAGCAGAATTTGAATAATGAAGCAATGCAGTACTGGACTGGTTACAAAACATTAACCTGGCAGAACTAAGGGTTGCTGTGACCTTTTCCCAGTCCTCTTGTGCAGGAGATGGATCCTCAAAAATTATCATACAGTTTGGCTAGAATGGAAGTATGATTAAATAATTAACCCTTATTCCATACAGATACTGAGAAGAGATGCTCACAAGTGTTGATGCAATACTCTTCTTCATATGCAAAGAATATTCGTACATAAATTCTTTGTATGTGAAGTGTATTTGAGGAGGATGAGTTAAGGTAGTTTTTGGGGTATGCTCTGTTTGGTGTGTGCTCTGTTTGTGTAMCCCCAGGATGAACACAGGGCTGGAGGGACTAATGAAAATAATGCTTTATATTGTCCCCTGATGAGGGCACAGACATTCAGYGCCCACTGAACCACTGTGATCCACATGGGGCAGGTCACAAAGCAGCTCCCACYACCTTAAAACCAGCTGAAGRCCTTTAGGACAAAGGCCCAGAATTSTCCTCAAGTGCCGAACAGGAGAAATCGATGGTRTGAGATTTGCAATTACACCTGCATTTCTTCTCTGCTAAGCAAGAAATAAATCTTCACGGCAAGAAATAACCTTTGTGCTYGGAAAAAGCTATAGAAAACAGCAACAAGAGGCTGGCAGGAGTCCCTGAGTGTTTGTGGRGAGGGATAATGTGCTGGCTGCATAGGCTGGGGAGGTTTTGATTCGGGGTTGATGATGTCTTTGCTCGGTCCCTCCTCCCCAGGAGCATCTCTGAGCTGGGTGAGCGGGGCTGAGGCTGCTGCAGTGTCTCTCCTCCCTCGGGGAGGCTGAGGGAGCATTTTCCTCTCTGGGCAGGAGAGGGGATGTGGGCAGTGGAGCAGTCAGTGAACACAGCTCTGCCTCTGGGGGGTGTTCACCCTCCATCTCCTCCTCAGTGTGTCTCTGAAGGAGCAGGGGAGCAGGGACACAGCCCAGGAACCTGTCCCAAAAATGCTCTTACAATTTCCCTGCCCTGGCAGAGAGTGTGTCAGCTCTCCYGTCCCAAAGCCCCACAGCAAACACACTTCTGATGTGACTGTGAAAAAAAGTTTAAAAACCCCCACCAAGATCTGAATGCAGCATCCTGCAACAACAGGCAAAAATTCCTGTCACCTCCAGATCTCTTTGTGCATTCTTGGTATAATCTGTGAATTCATCACATCGCTCATAACTCTTCGACTCATTGTCTCTCAGGACCTTGTAAAAAAGCCTCCATCACCTCTCCTACTGTGTTTACATCTGTTCAATACAGCTCATCTGTTGGCAGTAACCTGCTCTCAGTTTGGCTGACATAAACGTCTGCCAGCCCAAGCAGCACGAACTCTGCAGGMACAAACTCTGCAGGCACAAACTCTGCAGGAACAAACTCTGCAGGAACAAACTCTGCAGGAAYGAGCCCCCCTCTCCTGGGCAGCAGAGCTGCCACCAGGGCTCCTGCTGAGGTGGTTGTGCTGTGCTCTGAGCCCTGTGGAGGTGCTGAGCTGGTGGCAGAGCCATATGGAGCTGCTGCTGTCCTGTCTGTCCCTGGGTGTTCCTCCACCTGGAGCCATGGCAGGGCTGGGTTACATTTTGGCCTCGCTGGTCAGTTCTGTGCTGCAGCACAAGGTGCTGCTTCARGATAATCCATCAGAGGACTCAGCCCTTCATTTTCCATCACAGGAGTTACCAGAAGTGCTGCTTGGGATACAGCCCACTCCATCCTCAGCCACCCCGAGGTTTCACTTCACATTGTCTGGGAGAAGGAAATCCATCCTCCCCATCAAACAGTCCATGGAGGAAGCCTGCCTCTGGTGGTGCTTCAGCATCCCCACCTGTACACACCCTGCTGAGACCCCACCTTTGTTTCTCCAATACCCCTGAGCAGACAAATCTCTGTGCTGGGAGCCTTTTCTCAGCCCCCAGTGTCCAGGACATGATGTGGTGCTCGTGTTCAGAAAGTACTGGATTTGGACAGTTCCTACCAACCCTAAGAAAACTGTCTCAGCTTCTCTTCCTATTAAAGGCATGGAAGAATGCTCACAACCATCCTTTGGGAACATGTTAAACCACACTGAGTTTGTCCTCACCCACTGTAGTGAAGACCTGACTGGTGCTCTAACCTCATCCAGCCTATGGCAGCCTGGATTGCAGCAGGGAGGGGACAGCAGTCCTGAACTGGGTTTAAATATTTTTTAATAGAAGGGGATGATAGATTTTACTGTCATTTATTCTCATTTCTAACTAAAGTAGAAACATTATAATGCACAAGTTCAGATATTGGATCTTCATTCACTTTGTCCAAGCAACATTTTTATTAAGCAGAATGAAGCTGGCCTTTTCCAGATTTCGGTCAGTCTAGAGCTTCTGTAGAGTACATTTGAGCACTGACTGAGAAGGACTGTATTTTGCAGGGAGGAATGCACCAAAGAGAGATCAGACATTTGAACAGGGGTCCAGATGCTGGTCAACAGTCAGTCCCTCTCTTTGCCAGTATTTTCTGCTTTGTACACTCTGTTGCCAGACRTGGAACAGATCCGTCTTGCAGTTTGGGGATCTTCATGCAGAACCCTCTGCTCTGATTCACGAACGGCTGATTTATCCCACTTCTACCAACAGTGCTGAGACAAATGCTGAAAGTTTGTGTTGGCTGTTTCAGTCAGTGCTTATTCAAGTGGCCTCAGCACTCCAGACAACAGGATTCCATAAWGCAGGATCTTCTCAGAGTTCGCTTTCTTGAAGGAAATATTTTGAAGCTCTCATAATGCAAACATTGTAGCATACGGTAGATCCTTGAAATTGAACTGCATCTGTATCACAACCACAAGAGCTTGAGTCTCTGTGCAATCCATTCCAAACATAAGCAAAGCCCTTTTCTGGAGCACTTACCTCCTCCTCACACCCTYGTGTCCACCGCGTACATTTTGGCAGTGGCTGTTTGTGAGGATGGCAAATGCATGTTTGTCACCACGGTGGCAGCTGAGGAATAGCCTTTCCTCAAGGAGTAAGCAGAATGGAGTCTTCCAGAGCTGGTCTCTGTGAGGCAGGGAAAGAAATAGGAACTGTTKGTGACTCTCAGCTGCAGAGTTTTGTGATTCAGGGAAAGCATCACTCCAAGATGTCACATTTGATGTCACACTCACACCTCAGCTCCCACTTGAACACCTTGATGTGCTTTCTAGAGCTGCTTAAGACTATTCCCATTTTACAGCTCAAAACACTGCTGATGGAAATGAGCAACCATCCCAAAGGCTGTCCCCAAAGGACCTTCCCCACCCTGAGCACCTGCAGCACACCCTGAGCCATGGTGTTCATGTTTCCTCACCTCTGAACAGATACATGCAGCAGGTGAGCAGGGAGCCAGACAGGAAACAGCCGAGTGACCCTGCCATKCCCAGCCAGCAGGACCAGCCAAACTTGTACTGGATGCCCAGGAAAACGTTGTGGAGGAGCAGAGAGGAGCGCTCCACGTAGACATCCACTGCGTACCACACGGAGCCCGTGATGCCGGGGAGACCTGCGGGGTGGGAGAGGGGCCACACAGAACCACGAGGGACCACAAAYATCAAATCTGAAACTACAGCTGCTGTCTGATGGGTCAGAATTCAGGGTGGGAAGYCCTTCCTCGGACAGCAGGTTTTGGCCCCTTTGGCAGATTCTCCCGGGCTCCTGCTGTTTTCCTGCACTGCCACGGAGAAGCTGCACCTCATGGTTTGGCACTCACACCACTGGCAGGTTCAGGCTCCTGCAGCAAAAGGCAGAAAGCTCCTCCCTTCTCAGCTTGTTGTAAAGTGTCTTCAAAATTTAATTTCCTAATCTGTTTTGATTTTCAGARTTTTGATGAAGTTTTTCAGAAAAACTTTGAGATATGAATGGAAGAACCTCTCTAAGTTTTACATACGCTCCCAGTGTCTGTGGTGAGTTATGAAATCTGCTTAGRCTGAAGAAGAGGTAGCTGCTTGCTACTGGCATAAAGTCAAATGATATTATTGTGTGCCTAGTTGGCCATTTATTTTCGTATTTAAAATTCTCCCACTGGCTGTAAACAGCAAAGCACCTCAGCCRGTTGGGTATTTATCACCCAGAAGGGACAGACATATTATTATCCTTTTATTAGAGATTAGCTGCAGAGATTTTGGGCTAAGTGACTTGCCCAAGGTCACACAATCTGTGGCAGAGCCAGGAACCAAACCAGGATGCCAGGACTTTCCAGTCCTTCAGTAATTGCTCTGGAGACCTAAGGCAAGGACTCTCTGCTGTATCAACGTCAACTGCTCCACCATGAAACAGCAATAAATGGGAGCCAGTCAACTCAAAGCCAAGTCACCTGGCCAAAACATGAGCTGAAAGCAGATAAACTCAACTACGTGCTGGTAGAGGCAGCTGGTGAGCAGAGGAAGCTGCATTGCACAAATAAATCAAATAAAGATCCTTCCTCCTGCAGAAAATCACCAAACTCTCCCCAAAATAAAAGAAGGGTTTGAATGCTTCCCCACTGCTAAAGGGTGTCCTACAGAATAGAAACATAGTGGGGAAGTACCTGCAAGGAGCAACATAATTCCAGACACCAGGCAGATGCGCAGCTTGATGAGTGGCTCATCGGGAAGGAATTTCACACAGTCCAGTCCCAGGACCAGGAAAAGGAATCCAAATCCTGACAGGATATCTGCTGTGATCATCATGGCTCGKGTCAGCACCAGCTTCACTGTAGGACAAAAGCAGATCATTCCAGTGCACAAGGAATGGAAATGGGGACAGGTAAGGGGGTCAGATCCCATAGGAATATTTTTTTTCTGTCATTTAGCTTCATTCAGCTTCCCCTGGGAGTAATATCTCCCTGAGAAAAGAAGCATGTCTCTAATGATCTGTCACCGAGTGGAACAGATACTCTTTCAGTCTACACTCCTCACCACTTGTAGAAACATCTCTGACTCTTACATACCAGGATGCTCGGCGTAGATGGAGTCGTACTCATCACAAGTTTGAATCCCATCAAAAACRTTTGTGACACATTCCCACCACAGGCCACGGCATTTTGTACTCACCTGTGGATTGAGGAGACAAGGAAGACCGTAAGTTAAAATATCCACCAACATAGCAGGTGGTCATCCTAGCCATTCAACAGAAATGCTGGTCAGTTATGATGATGGTAAGTCAGAGTGTTTGGCTCAGAGGAAAAGCAGCAGGATGGAGGAAAAGGACAGTGCTCTCTGTGTCCCTACTAATGTTTTTACATTACAGCAAAAGAATTCAGATGAGACATTAAGAATAAAAACCCTGCCTACTAGTAAGGATAAAAATTCTGAAGGAAATTTCCGGGAGGAGCTGGGGGGTGGCTGACCAGGAAGATCTAAGAGCAAGTTTGCTCACCCATTGCCAAATGCTTGTCTAGGCTGAGCTGGGCAGGGCTATGGACCAGACAACCTCAGACTTTGCTGCCCATCTCCCCTTCCTTACACCATCCTCCTGATGGTTCAGGAGCAGCTCTGAGAGCAGGAGAGGAGTGTGGMCCTGAGCCCCTCTGCAGATACCTGGGGAGGGCTGCCCCCAAATGACTCAGCTGTAAACACTGGCTGCAAAATGAGAGGCAGACGGTGCTGATCCTGGCCCTGGGGCTCCYGGGGTGCTGCCAGCCCTGGGACCACGCGTGGCCAAGCCACAGTCATCGCTGAGACATCCAGGCTGGGGCAGAGCRTGCAGCAGCATCATGGTTAATGTCTGTGCTGTCCTGAAGCTGTAGATACCAGTCCCAGCCCAGCCTCCCATAAATCACTTTAATATGGGAGGTGTTTTCATTACCAATGCAAATATGGCAACCAGCACCTCTGAAACATTCCTGGAATTGCTCATACAAGGAGCAGAGTTAATGTCGGTGCAGCTTTGGACTCCAGCCCGCCCGCTGCTGCCAGCGACACCCGCTGCAGTTAATGGAAGGAGAAACTCTTCCAGCAAATGGGTTTCACGCAGGGAAAGGGGGCCAGGTTTGCTTGGATGATGCAATAAGTTCATTTTTCTTGYGCTGTGTAAATCACAAAGCAGATAATAACATATCTCAGCCACGTAATAAAGTCTTATTCAGGATGTATTGAAGTCTGCAGCCAACTGCAATATTTTCTCCACAATGCAATGTCTGAGCCAAACYGTGCACCTCCTCTGTGATACTGCTCTGTGGATCAAAGGTGAGTAAAAATGACTCACWACTTCAGACTGGCAGAGGAGATACTATTTATATTTGAATGAAAATAATCTACATGTTTTGCTTCAAGAAGATGRAAAGTGTTTAACATTTCTGAGAACTTCAGGGCATATTTAATGAAAAATACGATGAAAAATGAGAAGCAATGATGGAAAAAAAAGTGATTTCATTGATTCTGTGCTTTTTAAGAGAACAGCATCTTGTAAAACAATTTGCCATGTTTACACTCAATGTGTTTTTACCATGGCCCTCTTAAGCAATTGAAAGTCCTCTTCTGTCTTAACWCACCACTGTTCAGGCTGTGCTTGAAATTAAGATATTTTTATTAAATTACATTTTGTTTCAATTGTATTCATATAATTTCTCTTTCCTCCCAAACCACCACAGGCTTATTCATGCTRCTCTGCATTCAGCTAATAATGTCAGTTACTCCCTCACTTGCTCACATTATTAGTGTTTTTTTAAATCTTACAAGCAGCATCTACATCTCAATTATTTATAAAGAGACTAACAGGATTCCAGTCTTTGCCATCCCCCAAGCAAAACAGAGGTCTGAAAGTGCAACAGTTACGGTCTAGCTTGTGAAATAACCCCCTTCCCAGACTAACAAAAACTGGATTAATGTTTTGCATTTCTTGGGATGTTTCAGTTGTCAGCACTCCGGTTAGAGCCAGCACAGAGCCATGGGCAAAGCAGGGACCAGCCCATCTCCACACAGGGATAAATGTCCCTTTGCCTGGTGCAGGAGGGATGGGAGCAGGTGTCACTGTGGGTCCTGTGGCTGCCCCAAGCGCTGCTGAGCTGCTCCAGTTTCTGCTGCCAAGGGCCAGCCCCGGCTCCCCTCTGCTCTGTGCACCGTTGCTCCTTCGGGTTGTTGATTTGCCCCCAAGCCACCCTTGGGCATCTTCCCYTGTGCTGGCAGCACAGACCTCCAGGCACACGGGGACTAGCTGCTGTAAAGGGCACAGGGGCAGATAATGGGGCATCATGTGGATTTCCCCATCCCATAGCTGGACCCCTGCACCAYTRATTCCCCATCAYCTCCTATCCCCACACCAAAATCTGYCCCAGCTTCCCTGGGTCCGGCCCAGGASTCTCTGAGCAGCCAAACACCACAGCCGTGCTCCTCATCTCCCACTCGGATTACGAAACACGTTGCCACGACCTGCTTTCCCTAACACAAGTATGCATGTAAAACATGAACTGCATAATGACTGTAATAGATATAAT